GGGGAAGACACACAATATTTTATGAAAGTAAATTAGCAAATTGTAGCCAGAGAAGAAACAAAGTACTTCATATTATATGCATTATGTTGGAAATTGGAATATTAACATTAACTCTTAAATTATAAAAATATTCAATCCAGTGTTTGAGAGTTATATTTCTGGAAGTGTTTAGGTTCTAGACTCATAATGAAAACTTCAAGATCCACCACTTTTGATCTACCACATATGGATGATGCGAGCCTTGCTTTTCCTTTGTGAGAAGCCATAATGTTTGTAAAGTCAAGAACTAGTAGTCAGAGAGAGTGAAGTAGGATATGATTGGCTTATGGTCACTTTTCTACTTCCCTCTTTATTTCTAGGTGCAAATTAATTCAAAAGACTCGGGGCCAAATGTTATAGCTCCTGAAAATCAAGATGTTGTACTCATCCATTTCGTACATTTTATGACTGGATAAAAGTGTGATGTTATTTATTTTCTTCAAACCTGATGGAAACGCTTTTCGACAAACTGTGTGGTGTCTAGCTACGGAGCTTTGGGTTTTGCAATACATTATTCATTGCTTTAGAGTTAGGGAATGAGTTAGACCTCATTTATACACCGGTTAGGTTTTTTTAAACAGGAAGTGGTTGTGCAATTGTGTTAATCTTTTCCTGATGCTCTGAATGAACGAATTATTTTATTTGGTCTTAGTTGAAATTGAAAGAGTTTGTGAATTGTTTTATTATAATATTTTGATTGTTTTGACAGTGCAGGGGTAAGTCTTACCCATTTGATGTTTGTTAAATTGGATTGTTAAGGTGTCAAAAAAGAATGTTCAACTTTTCTTTGAATATCTTTTGTCAATTCAGGATCTGATCGTGCCAGCATTCTTCTTCCCCATCAACATGGTCTATCATATGTGGAACAAATCACAGGTATGTGTCTCCGTCTATTTGAATGTATTATATGAAAGTTCTGGATTTGATATCAAGTTTTTTACTGGCAGTTGTTGGTCTAGTTCCAGTATATTGGTAGAGATTAAGGATACTTTGTTTTCAGTCTCTAATATATTCAAATACAGAAAATGCATTGTAGACTAACTGTCAACTCTAGTTCAGGAATGTGTATCCTCATTTTTTTTCTTCTGATTTTTCGGTATTATTGATTTTATAATCATCTTTGCTTTGGAATTCACTACTACGTGCGACAGGTAAAAAAGTCTTGAAGTCTTTTTTTTCCATGGATCATGTTTTTATAATATGCAATTCCTTATATTTAGATTGAATGAAGCAAGGTCTATATGAACCATTCTGGTTCTGACACTGCCTGTCCTTGTGTGGTTTTTCAATAATAGATTTTTACTGGACTGAAAAACAGATGTAGCCTAATTTTTGAAAATGTGCTCTACAGAATAACATAGACCTATAGTTATGTGTAGTAGGCCTACATAGCCTCATCTGAGAAGTTCTGCTTTGATAAGCAGTTGAAATTGTCTAAGACAGTCACCCATTGATGAGGAGAAAGATGGTTGTCTTATACAGGTAGATGTCTTGGACTGTTTCATTATGATTTTGAAAAAAACTTTAAGGAGACAAGTGGGAAGTGGTCATTTATGCACTTGATTGTTTTAGAGTGGTGCATGTTAGAGCTGGTTCAACAGTGTTAACTTTTCTGGTTTGTCTTAGGATGAAGAAGCAGTCAACGCTTCCTCAGAGACGAACAAAATGGCTGACGACGACTCGGAGAGTGATATCAAGGCCACGTTGGAGGATCAGGTCTTGCACAATGCCATCATCTTACAGTTCCTCTTGTGTGCCGGAGTTGCCATCGCGTTGGGTCTGCTGGCCGCGTACCACGCTCGTCTCATCTCGCAGGGACAGACCAGCATAGAGCAGCATATTAACAACAAGGAGAGGGCACGATTGAAGAAGAAGAATATGGTGAGATCATGGTGACAACTTTCTCTTTGTTCCGTGGTATTTCGGATGGGAACTAGAAACTAGTTGGTAGTGTGTTGGATTATCGATGGTCTTTGTTTGCATCTTCAATGCAGCATTCTTGAACTTTGATTATTTCAGGGCTTTTCAGAGTTCTCCACTTACTAGGCTCTGTCCTATCGGAGTTGAATAATAAGGCTGGAGGTTCTGTCTGTCGCTCAACGTTAGAGTGGTAAAAGGTGCGCTTGACCCATACCATATGAAACCAGAGACTTTCATAGTTTTAAAGGAGAAATATGGTTGTTGAAGTGCTTTAGTAGCATGCTTTATTTTGTTTTTAAAAAATGGTTCTTTACAAAAACTCACGATCAAATGCATTAGAATGTTTAAAAGTTTGAAAATTACCTTCTTGGTACAGTGGAATCCTGTTATAAGGAGAGGCAGGGGATTGGTACGAAATATCCGTAATAGCAGAATTTACGTAAAAAGGGATCCAGTAATAAATTCAAGGGAAATTATAAAGTAGGCCTAATCTATGAGTTTGATGTTCTGATTATTTCTTTTTGTTACCTCCCATGATGATAATTTTGTTTGACATGACCTCTTGATCTCGCTTGATCAAAAATCGAATCACATTTCTTTCTCTAGCGCTAGTGATGTTGACAGCTCAGCGTTGGCAATCAGAAAGAAGGGCTCTAGGCTAACTCGCCTGCTGTGTTGTCCCCCACCCCACCACTCCCTGTGGTGTGTTCCGTTTGCTTGCACACATTGGGTACACACCACATCCTGCCCACATCACACATTCGCTCCATCCATCACAGCACTGTGACCTCTCTATCCCCATATAGGAGAAGTGAGAGGCATGGTAGGCCAAGATAATCTAGACTAGACTAGCCTTTCACGTGATGTAGTGTTCTTGTCTGCGCATGCCACATCCTCCCCACTCATTCGCTCCAGCCTTCATTGTTGGCACATGTGGCCTTTCCCATTCTTTGTTTCGCTAGATCATGGACAAGTTTCTCAACTGGCGAGGTTTTATATCATGTATTGGTCTATGGGCTGTGCTCAGCAGCAGCAATATTCTGCTATAACCTACTCACGTGTTTGTCTGAATGTGCTATAGCAATATTTTTATTTACAAAGATAAAGAAGGGAAAAAACCCTAGGTTTTAGAATAGTGTCTTTATAACAGACTTCTCGTTACTTCAGGACTTGTTAAAAGTGGACTCTACTGTAATAGTTTTATTGAATTCTATACCTATATTTTATCTTTAATTTCTTCCTCAGAAATTCAGAAATCCATATGACTTTGGCTTTTGGAAAAACTGGAAGCTTTTCTTTGGTCTTTCACGGGGGAGGTAAGTAAACTTAAGTCTTCATGTGTGTATTGAAATCTCGGAGAGAGCATTCTTTCCCCTTAAAGAATTTTTGGATGCTTCACTATTTGCAATGTTGAATTTTAGTTGCCTTTCCGAAGGAATCTGTTACATGGCGCACCGGCAGTGGAATTTTAGTTGCCGCGGGGGGTTCCCCTCCGGGCGCCTTATCACGTCGGGGTCACGGGGGTCAGCTCCCTGTCGCCGCTCTGTCTGGGCCGACTTAATTTTTGGTACTTTTCAACGTACAATTTAAGGTGCATCCTTGTATTTATGGTAATTCTCATTTAGCGCACCCAAAGCACGCATTTCTGCTCTTGAGACTCAAAAAAGAACGGACGTTGTAACTTGTCTGGTTATTTCGTTAGACGCGCTGGAGTCGGCAAAGCTAAATTGTAATTTTTTTGGGACTAGCGTGAATGAAAAAAAATCAATATTAAAAAAACGCATCGTCAAAATCTGTCAAACTTTTGGAATATGAACGACATAACATTAGTGCAGATACTCAGAAAAGATGGTATCTGCGCTTATAATAGAAGGCTGTAATTTTGCAATTTTATCCATCGGGCACACAATTCGCTACGAAGTAATTCCTCCAAATACAACTTTATGTGTCTAATATAATCATGAATATTCGCATGTTTTCTCGAAAGTTTATAAAAGTTATCATGAAGTTTCTCAATGAAAAGTACAAATCGATTTTAGTGCTAGAATATATCTTCAACGTAGATCTAATACACGAACAGTATCTGTTACACTCCAGAAATTGCTTACTTTTCTTAAAACGCTAAGTCTAGGTTTTGTAAGTTGACTGAATAATAGGGATGACTTCTCGTAATTGGGTTATAAGAATAATTTCTAGCTTTCCAGGGACACTGAATCAGCACCAGACTTTTCCAGCTTTTTTTCACGCTTCTATGACCATTTGCAATAACTGACAATGTGACTGATTTCTTTACATGCATAATTGTGTCCGCGCATATTTCCTACACAAAAACTAAGAATGAATGTTTTAGCTGTCGTTATTTTTATTCCATACTAGAAGTTTATCTCTACCCATGTATTTACACGATTTTGTGGTTTTTTAAATCGCTTATATTATATCTTTTTAGTTGTATGCAGGCTGCCACAGACACAGCATGATTCATGAACAAACGCAGAGTAACTTTCTCTTGTTTAATAGTAAAATAAGAGCTAACGCTGATCGTCTTTAGTTAAAATATGCAGATGTGCATCTTTCTTCTCTTATAACTTGACTATTACTACTACCGCAGATTTAAGATTTCTCATGGTAAAAGACATGATATTTGTAGTCAGTTTAACACAGAATTTGGAGAGATCTGTCGTGCCTTTTTTAAAATAACAATAATTTATTCATGACTTTGTAACTAAAATAGGACAAATTGGGTACTCTACAAACACTTGTCTAGAACAAAAACTAAGGCACAGAAACTAACCATTCTAACGCAGAATAAATCTCAAGACATTGAGCTTTTAGTACATTCGCGTAATGGTTTGCTGTGTGGGATGGGGAAGAAGTTATATCGTTTTAAACATAGTCAAAAATTCGAACTTCCCGACCGACACCGGCAAAGTCGCCTCAGGGCTCATTAACCCCGTGACCCCGAGCCGGGGAGCTCCGGCGGGCTGCTGAGTCACGCGAACTAAAAGTAACAGAATCGGGCGAAAAGTGACGCCGTGGTTATTTTAACAATTATGACAATTATGTTAGCTATTTGGACGTCATTGAATGAAAAAAGTTGAAATTTTGCAAACAGATGAAATAGCGGTGTTTGTTCCGATGTTTTGTTCTTATTAGTTTGATCTGTGATTGCTTTATATGGTAAATGGCTACGTTCAGGGTGATGAGGAACTTTCACAAATTCAGTTTGGCGTGGGTTTCATTCAAAGCAACTCCACTGAAATAAAAATCTATATACACTACCTCTTCAGCGAAATCAATATGGCCTGTTTGTTTGCTATTTTAATGGTGTACGTCTATATAAACTATTATCGTGAAGCTTTTCGTAGAGTTTGAACGTTCAGAGTTTTGTAAGGAGCTGATTTTGTGGTCATTTTTGTTCCAGATCATTTTTCCGTCACGTATTGTTCCCATCTCGGCATGACCCAGTTGGAAATGGCATCACCTGGGATACATGCACCTTCAAGCTTGACCACAACCGGCTGTTGGATCTTTTATGACAAAAAGACAAGTTAGAATAGAAAATTCCGAAGTGTATTATTTATTATTTAAAGAATTTTCATTTTTACAGGGAAACTGGTCATGTCCCTTTTTATATTTTTTATTGGCTGCTGTCTTGGCTGGACTTACACATCCTGTAAAGAAGTGTTTCTTTGCATAATGTTGAACAAGCACCTCAGGGATGGGTTAGTTATGTGAACCTCGTAAGTGTACTTGGCTTTAAAATGTGAGTGGGTGATTGGTGGATGCACTGGTGTGGTCCACTCCTTCTTTCCTACCAAACGTCTGTTGTCCTGACCCCTCCATCTTCTTTTTTTGTGTTGGCTACTCTCTTGTAACATCTCTAATCCTCCACACTTACTACATAACCTTATTGTGTTGCATGTGCTGTAAAACTCTTACTAAGGCAAATAAAACGTTGTTCAGTAGCGTAAACCTTAATCAATTGTGGGTGAGATTGGATTGATACTTTTCTTTGATATACCTGTACCCCCTGTACTGTAGGGACTCCTTACTGCCTCTCAGACAGGCTTATAAGATTGTGTGTGCTCAGCTGACAGCCAATTTCTATTGAAAGTGTGAATGTCTGTGTCTTGGGGAAATAGAGGCCTGTGGCTGCATATGCAGGATGGCTGCTTTCTTGTTAACCTTGCCAGCTATTTGACTATGTCTTGCCATGATGCGTACTTATAAGTATAGCATTCTCAAGGAGAGTATTTTGAAGACAATGTATTTTGATAACGGCTGTCATTTGGTGGTTGTTTTTTTTAGATGTGTTCTTACATTTTTACTGTATTAAGTAAGGCTAGTCCTAGTTTTGAAAACAGACTGTAAAGAGTTTTGTTCTCTGTTGCAATTGGGGTTTCGGACTGTGACTGAAAGAAAACTGGTTTAAAACACATTACAGTCTTTAAAGAACCATTTTTCTGAAACAATTCTGGCTTATTGTGTGACATTAATGAGGTATGAGACACATGTTGAGGATTGCCATTTAGAAAAGCATGCGCTCAGTACTGTAGATGCTCTGTTAATTTTGCCAAGGGCTACCTACATCTTCAGACTTTTCTGGTGTTCATGTTTGCTGTGCCTTTCTAAAGATGTATTGCTTTCAGTGTCAATTGCTTTCAATTTGTGAGTGGTTTTGAGAGTCTCTGAAGGTTTGGCTTATCTCCTGTACCTTTGTCCTGGTTCTATTCTTGCTTTTATATATATATACATACACCCATACCCTCATATATTGATATTATACATTATTGTTTTCAGCCTTTTATATGCAAATGTGTTTCTGTTAAGACCTACTAAGTTCAACTTGACATGATGTGGTCTTGAGTTATTTCATTTTCTTGACTGTCTGCTTTGTGCATTTTCTTTTCTTTGTTTGTGATGAAAGTTTTGTCCTTTGAACTGATGGAAAGATAATGTGCCAGGGCTGGTGTATCTTGTTTCCTTTCTCTGCTTGTTGAGAATGTTGTGGGGTTGAACTGTGCTCTGCAAGGTCGTCGCAGAGTATGCTATACAGAATTATTCTTCCCACTGGAGGACTAGAAAAGGTCTGTAGACCATTGACTTTGGATGATAAATATTGTTGGTCGCTCAATTTGTTGTTTCATGTTGAAATGTGTTCTCTGTTGAATGCCAGGTTTTTTTTAACCAAATATTGTTACTTGCATCTTGTCATCTTAACAATATTTTATACTGTTGTCTCATAACCTATTGACTTATTTTTTTGCACTTACCGTTTGTTTATTTATTATAATGTAATCCAAAGGGTCAAATGTCTGTTGATGAAGAATACATGAAGGGATATATTTTACTCACAAAGTGAAAAATCTGTTGGTGTTTTCTCGACTCAAATTTGTCTATAGTCATCACATTTTCCATTTATGCTAAGTGCTCTGCTTTGTTGAGCTGCATAGGATTGGGAAATTGTCTTTTGCCTGTATTCTTGAATGAATGCTTTTATTGAAGACTCATTTCATCTTTTGTTTTTACATGGACTGCTACAACTCTCTCTTTGCAAACATCCTTAATGTCAACGTCTAGCAAAACCAAGACTCAAGAATCATGTTTTAAACAAGGAAGAATGACCATATCACCTCCTTTGGCTACCAACTGCAGCTAGAGTTACTAACAAGATTGCTGTCCTTTGCCATAAGTGTGTGAACAATAAAGCCCCCTGAAATTGTTTTTAAGCAACCTCTTTCAAATGTACATTCCATCAAGATCTATAAAATCAGGAGGTCAGTCTCTTATCACAGCACATAAGAAGGGAGGTTTAAAAAAAATCTTGCAGAGGGATAATATTTTCATCTAGCTCTTTCTTTCTGGAACTCTTTTTCCACAGCGTTTGAGGGATACAAAATTAGAGGCAAAATTGAAAATCCAGTTAACACATATCTTATGAAATGCTGTTTTTATAGTTTGTCTTTCTTATTCATAGTAGTCTTTCAATGTGCTGTGTATATATCATCATTGATTGTGCAGTGAAAGTATGAATGTCTGCTTATGTGTTAGTGTTAGCGTTACTCTAAAGAGCAGATATATGCATGTTTTTGAAAATGTATTTTGTGCTAAGACGACGGTATTGTAACACAAGTTATTAGGATCTGAATTTTGTGTTTGTTTCGAGCAAGATTTGTTGGACAGATTAATATTTAGTACAAGTACATTGTATAGAATCAAGACAATTGTTAGTTGTTAAGAGGTCTTATGTATCATATCTGATTTTACTGTGAACTTGTCGTACTCATTTCATTTCGATAGATACGATTGTGCTTCAGTATTTTGAGTGTTTAGAAGTAAAACACAATGCTAGCAGTTGGGGTAAATCAGGGTAAGTTACACTGATTTAATTTAATTTTAAATTTTATTTATTTCATCCAGTTGCCACTTCCCAACTTTTTTGTTACTTTTTACGAAATCAAGCTGAGATTAAAAGGGAGTACTCAGTATTCCGTCTGTAAAGACAAATAATTTGGAATTGTGTATTCACAGGTTTAGTGATGAGTGTTTTCCTTCTTGTGATAAACCATGTCTTTGATTTCTTGAATAGTAAGGGACTGAAAATCAAGTGCCCGGTCTTTCAAGTTCTTTGAAAATGGAGTGTATGTATTTTTTTAATGACACCCACATAATACAGTTTCTCAAAATTTTCCTGTAAGTTAATGATGATTCTTTTGGTTAATTTTGTGTCACTTTGCTGAGTTGAGACCAGCCTGTATTTTTTAAAAACTATTAGTTCGTAATAATTTTGATGTAACTCTAGAGTAAGTAAGCTTGCACACTGGACAGCTGCCATTGGGAAGTATTATACTATGACTGTGATGTTGTAACTTGTCAAAATGTGTTTTTTAAAAATTGAAAAATGATTGTTTCATATTTTTTTAAAGTTTTATGAATATCAACTGTTCCAAGTCTATTCATTCTGTCATTTTCAGTGGAAATAAAAATCTTTGCCTTTCTCTATCACTCTATGAATACTGTTGCAATGTTTACCTTCCTGTGCTACTGAATACTTGTACTTATTAATTTTTTTTTCGTTTTTGTTATATGTACAATTATATGAATGTATTCTTGACAATGTGGAGGCGGACGGTTGAAAAGTTCCCTTGACGCATGTTTGCTCCTTTCGTTTTAGATAATTTCTATAATGCGATATATGGCAGCTGGTCTGTAGTGGGGGATCTTTTGCACAACTGTCAGTTTGAGCTGCTATGGGGCGTTATGCTAGGTAAATAATTAATTGTCTTACTAATTGGGACACAGATAACTCAGATACATCGGGGATTATTCAAATGTATTTGACACATCCATAATAATCTATTTGGGTTATTTGTTTGCTTGTTTGTCTGAGTTTGAGTAAAGAGAAGTACAGTGATACCATAATGGTTCATTTAGTGCTGGGGAAAAGTAAGCTAGTCAGAAATAACAAAGGGCAAGTAAGTAAGTAGGACCAATAGGTGGCACCCTCCAACCACCTGCATTATTCGGGTAAAATGATAATCATCAATGCCTTTCACCCCTGGCAGGGTAGAGGCCACTTACAAGCTCCTTCTATTTCTCTCTATCCTGGGCCATCCTGCCTAGCTCGTTCCAAGTGAGCTTCATCTCTCTCATGTCCCTTTCCACACATCTCCTCCATGTTTTCCGTGGCCTACCCCTGCCTCGTGCTCCCTGTGGTTCCATTGCAGTGACTGTCTTGTGATGTTTCCGCTGGGCTTTCTGAAAGTGTGTCCCATCCAACGCCACTTTCTTAGTCCTATTTCGACTTCTATATTCTTTTGTCCTGTCCTTTCCCACAGCTCTTCATTTCTTATTCTATGCTGCCACTTAATTCTTAGAGTACTCCTCATACATCTGTTGACAAAGTCTGGACTTTATTCGACACTGTCTTTGTTGTCTTCCAAGTTTCGCAGCCGTAGAGGAGCATAGACTTGACATTGGATGAGATGTTGCTTGCTTTCCAGACATTTGATAATTTCTTGAAAGCTGACCTTGCCTTGGTGGTTCTTGCTTTTACATCTGCCTCAGTTCCACCTTTACCATCGATGACACTACCAAGGTAGGTAAAGGAGTCCACTTCTTCTAGGGGATCGTCCTCCACTGTCACAGCAGGGCTTGACACTTTACCTAGCTTCACTACTTTCGACTTGCCCGAGTGTATACATAGACCAACACTCCTTGATAGGCTGTTGAGTTCCTTGGTCTTTTCTTGCATCTGAGCATGTGTGTGAGAGAGCAGTGCAAGGTCATCGGCGAAATCCAAGTCGTCCAGCTGCTGCCAAGGGATCCACTGTATTCCATTTCGCTTGCCTCTGGTGGCTTCCTTCTTAATCCAGTCAATTGCAAGTATGAAGAGAAAAGGTGAGAGCAGGCATCCTTGTCGCACTCCTGTCTGTACCTGGAATGGTTCTGAGAGTTGTCCTTCGTGGAAGACTTGGCAGTTTGTTCCATCATAGGTGGTCTTCACAAGCTTGACGATTTTGTCAGGTATTCCGTAATGCCGCATGAGTTTCCATAGAGTTTCCCTGTTCCACGCTGTCAAATGCCTTTTCATAGTCAATGAAGTTGACCACTAGTGGTGAATTCCATTCAAGCGGTTGCTCAACAATGATGCGCAGGGTAGCGATCTGGTCCACACATGATTGGTTCTTGCGAAATCCTGCCTGGTTTCCTCTGAGCTTCTCATCTGTTGCCAGCTTGATTCTCTTCAGGAGTATCCTGTTAAAGACTTTCCCAGGTATGGACAGGAGTGTTATGCCTCTGTAGTTGTTACAATTGCTGCGGCCTCCCTTCTTTGGCA